TCGAACTCCTGAGCTCAAACAATCCACCCGCCTCGGCCTCCCAGAGAGCTAGGATTACAGGCGTGAGCCACCGCGCCCGGCCTTTTCTAATATTTTTGATAACCATTTAGCTTTGGTAGGAAATAAGGTGACAAAGTATATGAAGTATAATTTTCAAAATATATATATACACATGTGCAAAAATGATGAGACAGAATTACTAAAACTTTTTGAACCTATAATGGAAAACAATTTGTGGTGGATGTTTAATTGTTAACGTGGTATACTGTGTGCTGGCCTATAATATGCGAATCTTAGGAGGCTAGCCATGTACTCTGTAATGGAAGAGACCCCAGTGATCAAATGAAGAAAGGAGTAGGGAAAATGACACAAAAAGAGAATTCTAGTTGGAAGTCTTCAAAAAGTGGTATGAAATGCTTGCCAACCAGCCTGGGACTGTGTACTCTTATATTTGGTTATGGTGGCTGTTTTTGTGACATTAAATACTACATTTATTCTATAGGTATTTATAAATTACTAGTTGTGTTCTAGGCCCTTCTGTTAGAATTGAGGACTAGAGCAGAGAACAAGATAAACTGGAACCCTACCTTCTTGGGATTTAACTTATAGTGATGGAAATGGACAATAAACAAGACATCTACAAATTGTGATATGCTATGAAGAAAATAAACTGCAGTGTGATGGAAAGTAACGGGAGACAAAATGGTTAGGAAGTGAGACTTGAAAAGAAGCTAGCTAGACAAAGACCAAGCAAATAAAAGGCAGATAAAACACCTTGATATGGAAAAGGGAACAGAAGAAAGAGCAGTATAGGGACAGGAGCCAAATGAGAGAAGGAAAGAGTAGCCTGAGATGCATTTGTAAAAGGACAATCATTTAGATTATTGACCATGGTAAGGAGTTGAGATTTTATTCCAAGTGCAGTGGGAAACCATTGAAGAGATTTAAGCAGTGAAAATTACTTGGTGCAATAAACATTTTTAAAAGAAGATCACTTTTGTCTGTTTGTGGAAATGACTTGGAGGCAAGAATGGAAGTGAACCATTAACAGTAGTGAGGAGAGAGATGATGGTGACATAGACAGGGGCGGTAGCATTCAGTGGAGATGAGAGAAGTGGACAGAGTTGATACATGATTTGCAGATAGGACTGACACTTTGCTGAAGGGAGGTAAGAGAACTGTGAGAGGTAAGAGAAATAATTCCAAATTTAGATTTGTTTAAAGAAAAGAACATTTAAAACTGGTCTATTTAAAACATTTAATGCTAGCATTCAACATAATGAATGTTTTCTTGACACTTTTATCATTTTTATTGCATTTAGGCTTATGCATCTGGATGTGACATTGTAATACTGGGAAGCGATTTCGAAAGATTACAGATAATCCCAGGAGCTAAACATGGAAATATTCAAGTGGGATGTGTAGACTGTTCAATGCAACAAGGCAAGGTTTGTAATCTTGTGGTAATATGTGAATTTGTTTTGAATATGGTTTTGGTCAGGATAATTTCAAAAGTATGTATTTCCTATTGAAATAGAGACTTGCTTTGTTTCAAGGACAATGTAATTATAATTTTTGTTTTTGTTTTTTTTTTTTTTTGGCTCTCTAAGATACATTTTAGAAAGTGTCAGGAATTCTGTTCTCATAAAATTGTAGCATAATCTTCTCTATGGGTTGAGAAAGAAATATAATAACTTACTGCCTATAGGGGGAGTCTAAAGCTTACTTATTTAAACACTTATTTAAAAGGTGATTGGATTGAGGGAAAGGAATGCCAATAAATCTTCAGTCTTTTTGCAAATAAACTCCTGAAGAAAGTCATTTGGTAGAATCATTCCTTGTCTGTAAACAGGTAGTTATAATATCTCCTTGTAACTTCTGGATAAACTTGTAACTGAAATGAAGATAAACTCTTCTGAAGTCTATAATATTTTATTAATTTCTTTCAAGTCTAAAAGAAAAATGAAAGCTTTACCTAGACTTCTATTTGCATATGAAAAGTGAAAAGGTAACCTTGAAAGGTTAGCAACAATGAAAACAAGAAACAAGACATACAATTCTTCTAGATCAGGTTAAATACAGTACTATGTAGTACTAGAATGGGAGTCATACTGGTATTAATAGAAAGCATAGTATATAGCTTAAAATAGCTCCATATAGGCTTAGATGATCAGGCCTATGTATAATTGTAACTGGACTGGGCTGAACTTTGAAAATTTACTCTCTTTTTTCTAGGTGTTTAAATATATTTGACTATATGATTCCACTAAAACATTTTATATGAGGAATAAATGGTCGTGAAAGTCCATGGACTCAATTTTTTTTTTTTAATCTAATCCTTGTTTTTGGTAAACCTGCCAGCATGAAAAGTTACTGCTTGGGACCTAGTTTAAAGATACTCATTGTAAAAGGAGTTTCTATTGTTGTAATCTCTACCTATTTGTTGGTCTACTGTTCTTTTTGTTCCCCAAGTCCCTTCCCTTTAATATATTGTAGTTACAAGTGTTTCTCTCCTCTCTCTCTCTCTCTCTCTCTCTCTCTCTCTCTCTCTCTCTCTCTCTCGTTTAGGCCTTTTATTACTTATCAGTATACTATAAAAATGATGTTTATTATGGAATGCTAAAAATCCTTCAGACTGGATTTTTTTCCTCATTCTCTTCATGTTTGTTTGCTCTCCTGTCCTGTAGTTCTGTAATCTTTATTGTGTAAAAACTTGCTTATACCATGTAGATTCACATGGCGCTCATTAATATTGGAAATGTAATTTAATAATTTTCAATGAGAGCTGTTTTTTTTGTGATAGACTAGACTATATGACAGTCCAAGTTAGAATGATGAAGTTATTTGGTTCTGTAATCATTCTGTAAAGGGCAAATTTTCTTTGTTTACAAATACCGGTATTATCAAAGTGTTCCTTAAAGTGTCAGAAAGAAAATGTATAGGTCCAGTACCTGGGTACTTCTCACTGCCTTTAAGAAAGAAATGCTACTTGACACCATAGGCACCAGTTTTTTATCATTACCATTTTTTCTTCATACTTACTTACTACTAATTAATTTTCCTGAGAAAATTCATCTGCATTTATCTCTTTTTCTTTTGGAGAAAGTTTCTCACTTTGTTGCTCGGGCTTAGTGCAGTGGCGTCATCAAACTCACTCCCAGGCTCAAGTGATCGTCCTGCCCCAGCCTTCTGAGTAGCTGGGACTCCGGGACTACAGGCACATACCACCATGCCCGGCTAATTTTTCCATTTTTTGTAGAGACAGGTCTCACTCTTGCTCAGGCTGATCTCAAACTCCTGGCCTGAAGCAATCCTCCCATTTGGGCTGCCCAAAGTGCTAAAATTACAGGCGTGAGCCACTGTTCCCAGGCTTTTAAAAATTTTTTTAAAGTAGGGACAGAGTCTCACTGTGTTGCCCAGGCTGGTCTTGAACTCCTGGCCTCAAGTGATCCTCTCACCTGGGCCTCCCAAAGTGCTGGGATTAGAGAGATTACAGACGTGAATGACTGTGCCCAGCCATTTTGTTATTCATCGGCTTCAAAACATGCTCAGCTTCTCATTACCCTGGAAAAGTTCAAATTGTTCACTTTGGCATGTGACCTTATACAACCTGGCTCACCTGTCTTTTTTTTTTTTATTATTTCTGCATATTATGGGGGTACAAATGTTTAGGTTACATTGCCCTTGCCTCCCCCCAAGTCCGAGCTTCAAGTGTGTCCATCCCCCAGATGGTGCGCATTGCACTCATTGTGTTTGTATATACCCATCTCCTCCTCCTGCCTCCCACCTACCCGACACCCGATTATTCCTATATGTGCACTTAGGTGTTGATCAGTGAAATCAATTTGCTGGTAAGTACATGTGGTGCTTATTTTTCCATTCTTGGGATACTTCACTTAGTAGAATGGGTTCCAGCTCTATCCAGGAAAATACAAGAGGTGCTATATCACCATTGTTTCTTATAGCTGAATAGTACTCCATGGTATATATATACTACATTTTATTAATCCACTCATGTATTGATGGGCACTTGGGTTGTTTCCACATCTTTGCACTTGTGAATTGTGCTGCTATAAACATTTGAGTGCAGATGTCTTTTTTATAGAATGTCTTTTGTTCTTTTGGGTAGATGCCCAGTAATGGGATTGCTGGATCAATGGTAGTTCTACTTGTATCTCTTTAAGGTATCTCCATATTGCTTTCCACAGAGGTTGCACTAGTCTGCAGTCCCAACACCCCTGTCTTTTTAGTTTCATGTCCATTATTCTGTCATAAGGAACACTCTCTTCTCGCTGAGCTGGTGGTCATTCACCTCTAACATACATTGCCTATTTAAATCTTTATATCTGTCTTCATACTGTGCCCTATTTGTGAAATTGAACACTCACTGCCCTTTGAAATCCCACCCATACTTAAAGGCCCAGAGGAAATATTCTCTACCACATCACCTTAGTACACAGGTGATTTCTATATCCTAAGAACTCAGAACACTTAAAATTTCCATTGAAAGTTATTTTTTTCCTTATGTATTTTATGTCCTCATTTCTTACTCTCCTCCACTAGATCATATGTTCTTCTTTTCTATCCCCAATTCATTTGTTTAATCTTATCTATTTATCTGTTTGATTTCTAATAATTTTGATGTTCTTTATATGGGACTCACTCAAGATATAGTAGTAGCTACCTTATAAAACAGAGCCAGGAAAGGTTATGTTCTATTGATTTTTAAAAGATAAACAAAATAGAATATTTAAAAAAAACGTACTCAGGGAGTTCACAAAGGAGTAGACCTAAGATTAATTTTTAAAAAGTTAAATGTACACTGACAGAATTGTGAGTTTTGAGAATGTATGACAAGAATTAACATTTACTATTCATGTTGTATATCATTTATTGTATGTTAGGTATTTTTCAAATGTTATTTCAATCTTCAAAATAATTCTGTTAGAAAGATGGTATTATACATATTATAAACACATACAGGGAACCTAGGTTTAGAGACATTAACTTGCTAGTTGCATGGTAAGTTGCAGTGCTAGGATTTTAACCCAGATATGATGGTCTTCAAAATTGGCATTCTCCAGGATCAAAAAATGAAATTATATGTGTGGGCATATTTAAAGTTATACTGTTCATTTCTTGCATTTTTGATCCGTAAGTAAGTTAACATATCCATAATAAATTTTTCTTTTTTCTTTTTAAAAGATTGCAGCATCCTATGGAAATGTTATCTCTGTTTTTGAACCAGTTAACCTACCGAAACAAAAGAAAAATTTGGTTAGTAATTTATCATTTTTCTTTTAGGAATTGAGATGTCTTAAGTATTAAAAGAGTATAAAATTAGAATGATCATCAAATAAATCAGTATAAATTATGTATTATAATTGAAGATGCATATTAAATCTCACTTCCATAATAAAAACATATTTAAATCTTTCATTGGAACAGAATTAAACTAAATTGTGCCTATGAATTGCCTTGAAATGCTTTACTTTATTTCCTTCTGACACCTTTTTTTTTTTATTTCAGCATATTATGGGGGTACAGATGTTTAGGTTACATATGTTGCCCTTGCCCCCCCTTCCCCTCTAAGTCCAAGTTTCAAATTTATTTACTCTTTGCAATCTCTTTCCAGGCCCTTTTGTTGTGTATGTGTGTGTGTGTGTGTGTGTGTGTGTGTGTGTGTATCACGTTGCCCTTGGACTATTATAATTTCTCTCCTGGGTATGATCTCTGCTCTGGCCTGTGGCTGGACGGCATCTGCCTCGCAGTCCTCTGCGTTCGTGTTGCCTGATGATTCCTAGGATTCCTCTCTTCAGGGGCTCCCTCTTGCTTAGGGTCAAGGCTTCCCATTGGGGCACTCAGAATCTTCCCCTGATGCCAGCTGACTTTGGCTGTTGGTTAATCAAACTCAACTTACTCCCACCCCTGTTCCTTTGCGTGGGATGTTAGGCCTGGTCTTCTAAATCTTGGCCCTATCTCAAAACACTTCCGGCACAATAACCTTTGGCTTCTCTGACCCCTGTACAACAATGGTAGGGGTCTTTGCCTGCACTGTTTCTCTTCCTAGAATACTTTTCCTTCTGTTTCTCACTTAGCTCTCCTTCAAAACTTAGTCTAAGCCTCACCTTCTCCAGTAAGACTCCTGCGAGGGCTCTTTCCCTGGGAT